AAACAAGATCAAGAAGTGAGCAAGTGAGGCCTGGTAGGCACAAGACCTAGCACAGTATAGAAGCGCTGATGATCACAAGGCGGAAGGGCCTTGGTGAAGATATCAGCAGTGTTGGCCTCAGAGGCCACGTAGGTGAGGCGGAGCTAACCACGCTGCTGCAGCTCACGAGACAGGAAGTAGCGGAGAGCAATGTGCTTCGTTATGTGCTCCAGTCTGTGCTCCCGACACAAGGCCAACATGGCCTTGTTGTCTATGTACAGAACTGGAGGAGAACGAGGCGGCTCTCCTAGGTCACTCAGCAGGTAGGTGAGCCAGCGTAGCTCCTGTGCAGCCATGGCCCCTGCGTAGATCTCAACCTCACAGCTGGAGCCGAGAACAGAGGACGAGCGGGTAGACCGCCACGAAACAGAGCCGGAGCCAAGGCTGAAGGTGTAACCCTGTGACGACCGCTGCGTAGCCTGGTCGTCAGCCCAAGAAGCGTCAGCGTGACCTGTGAGGACTACTCGACGTTGCCCTCCCAGCACTAGCCCCATGCCCGACGTACTGCACACGTAGCGCAACACCCTCTTCGCTGCAGCCATGTGCTCTGGTCGGTGTCTCCCAGGAGCAACATAGCGTGCCAAGATGCTAAGAGGGTATGCAAGGTCAGGTCGTGTGCAGGTCATCAGGTACATGAGGCAGCCAACAAGCTCTGGGTACAGGCCACTCGACTCTACGGACTCATCCGAAGGCAGAGCTGAGAGCGAGTGGCGAGTAGACAAAGGAGTGGCCTGATGTGAGGAGTACGTGAAGCCGAAGCGCTGAAGGACCTGCTGCACCATGTGTGACTGAGTCAGGGTAATGGTGCGCTGTGCTCTGTCCCGGGTGATCTGCAAGCCAAGGTAGCTGCGCAGTTCACCCAGGTCTGTGCACGTGTGTCTCTTCTGCAGCTCGGACTTCACGTGGGCGAGTCCAGCAGTGTCAGCAGTGGCAAAGACCAGGTCCTCGACGTACACGAGGATGTAGAACGGCGGCAAAGAGGTGTCGGTGCGTAGAAACAGCGACGGGTCGGCTGTAGAAGGAGCAAACCCAAGAGCCGCAAGTGTAGTCCTCAGTGTGTTGTGCCTATTACGGGGCGCCTGGCGCAGACCGTAGATGTGAGGATCTGGGATCGAGTTCAGAAAAGATTATTCGAATTGAATTGAATGATCACCTGGGTACAAAACGAGGCTATATATAGGCTCGACACAAGGCCCCGTAACCAGGTGTTACGCGAAGGTTCCGCGGGTCGCGAAGCGTCCCGAACAGATCCTTACCGAATTCGGTAGAAGGCCGGTGCACGCAACCTAGCTCGGTGCTATAACTATAATAAAATATAGGAAAGCACCTAGCCTAGGAAATCAAGCAATTCATGCATGCATATAATCATCCCATGCTAGAAATAGCATAATAAAGTAAAGGCAAGCAAGCATAGCTGGCATAAGCCGTCGTACTCTCACAGTAGACTGGCCGCCGGAGGCTCCACTGGGTGCCAAGAGGAAACGACCCAGTGAAGCCAGGAGGGCGGCGCAGCCAGATCTCCTCGTGCAGGCTGCCCTGCAGGAAAGCAGTGCTGAAGTCAAGAGAGTGGAGCTCGTAGTCGCGCTGAGCGGCTATGTGCAGCAGCACCTGAAGAGTGGTCATCTTCGGAGTGGGAGAGAAGGTCTGAAAGTAGTCAACTCCCTGCCGCTGACTGAAGCCTCGAGCCACGTAACGCGCCTTGAAGACAGGCGGAAAGCCCGGCGGCCGCTTCACCCTGAAGATCCACATCCCACTGACGATGTTCGCCCAAGGTGGGGGAACCTCGTCGACGTAGGTGCCTGTGGACTTCCAGGAAGCCATCTTTGCATCCATGGCCGACTGCCACTGAGAGGAGTAGGGACCCTCGATCGCCTCAGCCTACGATCGAGGAGTCGGGACGTCTGGTGCATCCGGGTCTCCCTCAGGGGCAATCAACGTGGACACGAGATGGGGCAAAGCAGCCGCAAAGCACTGGAACTCCTCCTGCCTGTCCTCAAGGACGTCCGTGCTAAGAGCACACTCACCCCCGACGGACGGAGGACAGACAGACTCAGACTTAGCAACAAAACTGGCAGCGTAGTCTAGACGACAGCGAGCAGCAAAGTTGACAAGCTTAGCAACGAGAGCAGATGCAGCAGCAGACTCAAAGGAAGGGTCAGTGACGACAGTAGTAAGAAGGCGCGTGACCGAAGGACTAGCAGCACGAAGGGAGTCAGACTCCGGGTCAGCAAGAGAAGGAAGAGAGGACTCTGGAGGAGACGGCATCGGGACACGCAGAGGAGCAGTGGAAGGACGTAGTGCCATCTGGTGTGTGCCGGGGACCGCAGGTTGACGCGGACAGCGCAGTACGACCACTAGTGCGAGCAGCACGAATAGGTGACGCGGGACGAGACGCAGGCTCACGACGCATAGCAAGACCTCCAGTAGGACTAGTGTAGGGAGAAGGAGCAGGTAGAGGGGAGGCGGGCGGTAACTGTGACTGTGACTGGACCGGCGGTGGACACTCTAGGGGAGGAGCAGGATCAGTAGAGGGCGGGAGACCAAGAACCTGCTCCAGGAGCGGAACGAAGTACGGCCTCGGCCGCGTAGCGCCTCTAGAACCAGCAAGTACGGCACCAGTACCCCCAGCGGCAGCAGAACCTCCAGCTCCAACAGCGCCAACTCCAGGACCCTCAGAAGCACCAGCGCCAGCAGCACCGCCAGCGCCAACACCCCCAGCAGCTCCAGCTCCAACAGCACCAACTCCAGTAGGACCGTCAGCACCAGCTGCCTCAGCAGCATCCCCAGACGCATCAGCACCAGTAGAAACACCAGCGCCAACACCCCCAGCAGCTCCAGCTCCAGCAGAACAAACTCCAAGAGGACTGTCAACACCAGCTGCCTCAGAAGCACCCCCAGACGCACCAGCACCAGTAGAAACACCAGCGCCAACACCCCCAGCAGCTCCAGCTCCAGCAACACCAACTCCAGTAGGACCGTCAGCACCAGCTGCCCCAGCAGCACCCCCAGACGCACCAGCACCAGTAGAAACACCAGCGCCAACACCCCCAGACTCAGCAGCACATCTTCAGCGGCGGGCCAACCACACGCGCAGCTCCTGTGGATAGAGCGGCTCCCGCCTCGACGAAGTACCGCCGGCGGCCACACGAGCAGACCCAGCACCCCCAGGCTCCGCACCCCCAGACTCAGCACCCCCAGGCTCAGCACCTCCAGTCTCAGCACCCCCAGACTCAGCACCTCCAGACCCGGCACCCGCAGACCCGGCACCCGCAGGCTCAGCACCTCTAGCAGCACCAGAGTCTACAGCTACCTCGACAGGCTCGACTGCGTCTACCTGGGACACACCTGAAGGGGAAGGACCCTGAGGAGGGAGGGGGTCTACCTGAGTAGCACCTGGCGCAAGGAAGAGCGGCGGCGGGGGGAGGGGCGCAGTGCGGTAGGGGAAGAGACGGTAATAAGGCACCGACTCGTCAAAGGTGACGTCCTGGGAGGACAGAACAAGGCGCGTGGTGGGGTGGTAAAACTGCCAACCAGGCGCGTCAGGGGGGAAGCCAAGGAAGACGCAAGGAACAGCACGGGGGGACAGCTTGTCCGCAGACAAGTCGCGGACAAACGCCCGAGATCCCCAGACCCGAAACGCAGACGCATCGCCAACCTTCGCTGTCCACCACAAGGCGGGGGAGATCTCTGGCAAGGAGACACGGGGCTGAAGGTTGAGCTGATGCGCGGCGTACTGAACCGCAAACGGCCACAGAAAATGGGGGGCAGCCGCATGCATCATGGACGTACGCGCGACGTCCATGACCATGCCAATGCGGCGCTCAGCAATCCCATTTTGCTGTGGAGAGGCCGGAAGCGTGAAGGTCCGGCGGATGCCCTGTGCCCAACAGAAGGCTCCCAGACGGGCAGAGTAAAACTCCCCTCCTCGGTCTGAGTGCAGACACAAAACAGGAAAGTCCGAGCCGAAACTCTCTCGGAGCTGGAGACGAGCAGCGCGGATCCAGTCGATCAACACCTCAGTGACGTCACCCTTGCTGCGCAAGAGGAAGAGTGTGGTGTAATGCGAGTAGTCGTCAACGACCAGCAGAAAGTACCGCTCTCTCCCCTGCCCACTGACGCGGGCTGGGCCCCACACGTCCATGTGTAGAGTCTGCTGCGGAGCCTCTGTTGGAGGAAACTCGGAGGAGTGAGGGGCGGCGCGCTGTCGCCCCTCGACGCAGGGGACGCAGGTAGGGCCAGGTCCCGGAGGAAGGGGAGGGAGAGACCGAGGAAGACCAGAGACAAGGACACGGGAGGCCATGCCTCGGAGACGAGGCAAAGAGGGGTGACCAAGGCGGTGGTGCGAAAGGAGAGTCTGGTGGGACAGCAGACGACACGAGCAGGGGGCAGACTCAGGACCAGACATGGACGCCGCAGCAAACACCTGACTCGACGCAGCTACCTGGGCAGACTCAGCAGTAGGAGGAGACTCAGCAGTAAGGGTGTACAGGCTCGACCCTGGTCGACGGGTGAACGTGGCCAAGTGTCGGCCTGTCCGAGCACACCTGCAGTGGGTCACTCGCTGACTCGCAGGAGTGAACTGGTCAACCCCTCGATCTTGTAGGTCTGCTCCGCTCACCAAGTTCATAGAGAACGAGGGGAGGTAGAGACCAGACAGGGTGCCAGAGGGGGCTGCAGGGCACGGAAGGACAGTGGAGAAGCTGGCAAGGACAGGACCCCAAGAGGGGTCTGCTAGGGAGACTGGAACCGGCCGACTAAGCGGCGTAAGAGTGGTGCAGTCTCGAAAGAAGGAGCGGGACGCACCCGAGTCCAGGGTGAAGGTGTGGAAGGCCTGAGCCGATGTCGTACCTGAGAGAGCAGACTCACCAGCACCTGGGGCGGCAGACTCACTAGCACCTGGGGCAGCAGACGCACTAGCACCTAGAGCAGCACTCTCACCAGCACCTAGCGCAGCAGCCTCAATGCCCGGGTCAGGCGGTACACACAGGTAACAGGCACCCTCAACACTATCAGCAACAGCAAACATGGCAGCAAGAATAGCATCAAGTCAAGATCAAAGATAGCAACCCCGGCCTTAGCCAGATCTTCCCAGCGAGGGATCTCTGACGCCTCAGGGAACTGGCAACGCCACGCGTCCGTCAGGCGACCAAAGCAGCGCTGGGTGGAGTGCGGACCCCCGCACTGCTCACCAGTGCGGTCGCCGGTACGGAGAACGTAAGAGCAGGGACCAAAACCCCCACCGCGCTGGCGTGCAGTGTACCACTCACGAAGCTGCTGAGGGGACAAGGTCACACCACTCCGCTGCTGCTGCTGGCGCTGACCACCACCGGCGCCACTCCTCGACGCAGAGTCGCGACTCGCTCCACCACCGCCGCCTCCGCCGCCCGCCGCCTCCGCCGCCTCCTCCACCTCCGCCTCCTCCACTACCTCCGCCGCCTCCGCTACCTCCGCCGCCTCCGCTCCCTCCGCCACCTCCACCGCCTCCGCCGCCTCCACTACTGCCGCCGCCGCCGCCACCCCCAGCACCACTCCCACCAACACCCCCACTCCCTCCACCGCCTCCACCACCACCTCCACCGCCCCCTCCACCTCCTCCAGTGCCCTTGCCCCCCTTGCCCTTGCCGGTGCGGCGTCCTCCCGCTCGGGGCAGACGCAGCGCCGACCGACTCGAAACCAACGAGGTCGGCCGCAGCACCAGAGGCAACAGAGGGCAAGAGGGGGGAGGGAGAACACCCCTCAAAGACGGGGGTGCGAGGGTCACCACGAGAGGCTCCTATCGCTAGGAGAGCCTTCTCGAGGAGGTCAACGGTGAGAGTGGTGGGGCAAACTGAGAGGAAGTGGTCCCTGACTACACAGAGAGAGTTAGGGAGACGGGTGACTAAGTAGTAGAGGGTGATGTACATGGGGGGGGGGGGGGTTCTTGGCGCACAACTCAGCAGGAAGCGCAGCGCGGTAGCGAGTGTCACTAGTGCGGAGGTGCGTTATGAGGTCAGCGACAGTGGGAAAGGCAGCAAGGTCAGGGAAGAGGTACGGTAGCATGAGGCGGCTCAGTGCAGCAGTGGCAGGGGAAGAGTAGCGTGCAACTACAGCGTCGTACAAGGTCTGAGCACTCTTGTACTGGCTAAAGTGTGCACGCTCAGTGGTCGGTAAGTGGCGTCAGCATCAGCAGCAGGGGCAGGGGAGACACCAGAAGTGAGGTCAAAAGGAAGAGGCCGTCTGCCCTATCGCACTGCAGGAAAAGCTGCAGATCATCTACCCAGACCTCAAAGTCCACTGCCCGACCCTCAGCGTCAAGGTGAGAACGCTAGGGGAAGCCATAACAGTAGGAGGCAGGCAGTGCAGTGGCAGAGACTGTGCTCTTACCAAGTAGGTGGAGCAATCGGGCTGCTCGGCGGCTCGGCTGTCGGGCGACTCGGCTGCAGGGCGGCTCGGCTGCTGGGCAGCTCGGCTGCTGGGCGGCTCGCCTGCTGGTGCGGGGGCGGCTGGGCTGCTGGGCGGCTCGGCTGCACGGTGCTGGGCGGCTCGGCTGTCGGGCGGCTCGGCTGCTGGGCGGGCTCGGGAGGTCGGGCGGCTCAGGTGGCCGGCGGTTCGGCTGCTCGGCGTTGCGGGCGCTGGGAGGCGGGGTCGCAGGTGGTGGCGAGGTCGCAGGTGGCGGCGGGCCGCAAGGGGTGGGCGGGGCCGCGGTGGCGACGGGGCCGAAATGGGCTAAGTGGGGCCGTAGAGGGGCCGATGGGGCCGAAGTGGGGCCGTAGCGGGGCCGCAGCGGGGCCTAAGCGGGGCCGTAGCGGGGCCGACGGGGCCTAAGCGGGGCCTAAGCGGGGCCGACGGGGCCGTAGCGGGGCCGTAGGGGGGCCTAAGCGGGGCCGACGGGGCCGTAGCGGGGCCTAAGCGGGGCCTAAGCGGGGCCGTAGCGGGGCCTAAGCGGGGCCGACGGGGCCGTAGCGGGGCCGTAGCGGGGCCGTAGCGGGGCCTAAGCGGGGCCGACGGGGCCTTAGCGGGGCCGTAGCGGGGCCGACAGGGCCGTAGCAGGGCCGTAGGGGGGCCTAAGCGGGGCCGACGGGGCCGACGGGGGCCGTAGCGGGGCCGTAGCGGGGGCCGCAGCGGGGCCTAAGTGGGGCCGACGGGGCCGTAGCGAGGCCGTAGCGGGCCGTAGCGGGGCCTAAGCGGGGCCGTAGCGGGGCCGACGGGGCCTAAGCGGGGCCGTAGCGGGGCCTAAGCGAGGCCGTAGAGGGGCGGCTCGAGGGGCAGTAAGGGCGGCCAAAAGGGGCCACTAAGGCGGCTCAAGGCGCTACTCGGGTTAGGAGCTAGGCGCGCTCCGGGTAGGGAAGGAAAAAAAAGTTCGTGGTGGGCCCTAGGCAGTATTCCCACTCGGGAACCTGCTCGATACCATGACGAGAAGTGAGAATGGAATGAATGAACTATGAAACAGTTGGGTACAAGTACTAACCCTAACTGGGGTTGTACCCTTTATGGGCTACCCCACTACAGCCTACACAAATGTATAAGCTATAATGTTCTGACACATAAATCACTACAGTACCTCCGCGCACAGCCACATCTCAACCCACGACAGATCCGCTGGCTCGATTTCCTCGAGCCAAATTTCCACTACACCGGTCACCTACAAAAAGGGGGCATTGAACATCGCTGACGCTCTGACCCGCCCCACTGCCCAGATCCACGCAATACTACTCGCCCAGACAAGCCCACTACTGACAGGCCTATTTTCCCACGGGTACAAACGGATCCATTCTTCACAGGAGGAAATTCGCAGCAGCAAAGGGAGTCTATTACGTAAAAGCCGGGACCGACCGCATCTGGGTACCAGGGTACACACTGCCACGGGAATTATTATTACAGGAGGCACACGACGGAGTTACCTCAGGGCATTCCGGGGTAGAGAAAACACGGCAGCAGCTGCAGCGGTATTATTACTGGCCCGAGATGTTGACCGACATACAACGATACGTGGCATCGTGTCAGGACAGTTGCAGCCGATACCACCCCCAGAGCGTGCTTGGCAGCAGGTGACGATGGATTTCGTCACGGGGTTACCGGCCGGGGCAAGTGGGAACGACGCGATCCTGGTCGTCGTCGATCGAACTGACGAAAATGGCACACTTCGCAGCCTGCAAAAAATCAATCACAAGCCGAAGAAACAGCACGCCTCTTCATCTCCACCGTCGTTCGACTACACGGGATACCAGCAGCGATCATCAGCGACCGAGACACGAATTCACTAGCAACTTCTGGCGGAACCTGTGGCAACGATACGGCACGCGAGTACAGTTCAGTTCCTCATACCACCCTGAGACCGACGGACAGACAGAGAGGACAAATCAGACAATGGAACAACTCATATCGGGCCACGTGCGACGACCCCACCACTTGGGAACAGCAACTGCCGCTCATTGAGTTCGCGTATAATAACTCACCCTCCGCCACAACCAACAATCGTCGTTTTACCTGAACCACGGACAAGACCCGACAGTACCCATGACCCCGAATCCCGACAACTGGGTGCCACGAGCACAACAGTTCGCCGAAATTTTACAAGCAGCACGGACCCGGCCAACAGACGCAATAAAAAAATCAAACATCATCGCTAAACGTAACGCCGATCGCCACCGCCGACCTGTTACTTACCAGCCGGACGACCTAGTTTTACTTGACACCCAGAACCTCCGCCTGCCCATCACCCCAAAACTTCGCCCCCGATATTGTGGACCATTCCGCATCAGCCTCATGATAACGCCCGTCACCGCCCATCTCCTCCTCCCCGCTGACTGGTACGTCAGCCCGTTCTTCCACGTCAGCCTACTTCGCCCCTACATACCGTCCACAAGCCAACTGCCACGTAATCGCCCAGCCAGCATGACACGACCGCCGACCGAACCAATCATCACATTCGAGAAAATTCTGAGCCACAGAGTTCGGGACCCTCGAGGAAGCCCGAAAGATCGAGTTCCTGATCCGCTGGAAAGACCGTACACCCACCGAAGACGACTGGGTTCCCCTGGACAGAGCCGACAACCACCCCGTCCTTACAGAGTATCTGCGCAGCCGAAACTTCAGGGATGTACACGCACTTTCGTAAGGAGGACCTCCTTGGGGGGGGGGGGGGGGGGGGGGGGGGGGGGGGGGGGGGGGGGGGGGGGGGGGGGGGGGGGGGGGGGGGGGGGGGGGGGGGGGGGGGGGGGGGGGGGGTAGTGTAAGGAAAAATCCTTTTCTTTACTTTGCGTCCCCGCTCAGCGCGTACACCACTGTAGCACCACAGTCAGCATCGTTACCACTCGCAACCCTCGCATCGACAATCCTCCCGCCACCTTCGCACCTCGCACCCCGACCTCACGGCTCGGCGGGTAACCCGCGCTTCGGGCCTGCGCTTCGACACTTCCCCAAGCCTCAGTCCCAGGCCCGTCGCGCGACAACCACAGTTCCATTACCGTTACCACCGTAGTTTCGCTATATATTCTTCGCTCATACCTTCGCTCATTGCTTCGCTCATTGTACTCTTGCTTCGATAGTGCAATTCTCGCTCGATCACTCATATTGCACTCGTAACAAGTGACTTTTTTGCACGGGGCTTCACAAGGTGGCTCCTACCGTATGTGACTGTTTTAGTATTTTCGCATTTGCTAATTCGTTTTCTAATAATACCATGATATAAACTTCTGTATACCTACAACAGTTGTAGCAGTCGGCATGTACACGCTTCTTCCTAATTTGACCGTTTCGATTAATTTCACGGCACCTTCGCTCTCCCCGAGCCGCAACGATCTCACAGATTCCAGCTAGCCGAGTCGCACATTTTCCCCCAGAAATTGGATCAGGAAGTGGAGACGGGGAGGGTGCTGCGGAGAGAGCTCTCAAGGTGGCAAGAATCAAGACCCAATTTCAACAGTTCACATGCTCTTCCACAGGTTTGTTCTTTCCTTAGTTCCAGGCATCCCCCTTCAAGGATTTGCCGAGTTTAGCACGAGGTGGTTTCCGACACGATGCGTGAGGTTCATGTTCTGGATCATAGTTCTTTCGGTTTTCTTCCTTACAAAGTCCATCTCTGTGCTCAGTCGTCACTAACCTAACAATCCCGCGCTGCAACAGCCCTGGTCCTTAATTGGCGTACTGCCATTACGATCGTTTATCGTGAGCGTGTTTCCTACAGAACCAGAAAGTCGCCAAACCAAGTGCGTATTTCGAAGACCGCCCGTGCTGGGAACAGCCTTACAGGCAAGCAGACTGCGCATCTTTTGCTTTACACTTACATCCTGTACAGCGATATGAGCCTATTAGCCATCTCGAAATTCCCGGCCACACATCTGCAGCGCACTCCCTCGCCTTTCCTTTTTCCTCCTCGGAACAGCTCTCTCCCTACTGACGCATCATGTCTGCCTTCTCTCCGCGCAATCGTCCGCTGCCACATCGACAACCCCTCAATACGACAGTAAGCGTTCGAAGCTCATCCGAGGAGGCTTTCCCGAATACCTCTCGTTGAGACGGACAGCCATATCCACCTCGTCCCGCTTCTATCCCCGGCTCCTCAAGTCGTCCTCTCGAGACGAGCCCACATTCTGGCCGGAAGGCAGCGGCGTCAGCCACAGACTTCTCCTCCGAAGCTTCCCCCCACGCCGTACGTTCTGGACACTCCGGACTTGCTCCCCGAAGCGGACCCGAGTTTCGACTCCGGAAATCCGTTCTTCACTCCCAAAAGCCCGTGATTTTCTCCATGCCGGACCCCGATCCCACTGCCTTCGTCACGAATCCATCCGCGGTAGTGAGTGCCCCGACTGGGGTGAACGTGGATATCACAAGTGGCGCTCCCGGGAAATGGCAACGGGATTCACCTGCTTTCCCCGCAGCCCGGTGCTGGTAACCAGGTAACCAGTAGCTTTCCCGCTCCGCGTCCCACTGGCACAATTTACAGCGTGCGGAGTTTTGGAGCCAAGGGAAACGGAGAGTCAGACGATTCCAATAGTTTTTTGGCCGCGTTCGCAGCAGCGTGCAATGCGTCTCTTGCTGCAGATGACGGCACCAGCCCCTGCAACGATGCTCGTTCCAAGTGGATACACCTTCTACCCTCACGCCTATTCAGCTGATCGGGCCTTGCGGGCCAGGAGGAGTGAATGTCCAGATTGACGGGAACATAACCGCACCTGAGAAGCTCTCTAGGTATCCGTCGTCATCCAGAAAGGGCATTTTTCGCGTTTATTCAATTTGGGATGATCACGAACCTGACGGTGTTCGGCTCGGGGTTTATTGACGGGCAAGGGGGAGTCGTTCTGGGAGAAAGGAGGCGACCGACCAGTGCTGGTGTATGTCTACATGTGCAACGGCACGAGCATTAGCGGCATCACCCTTCAGTAAGTCTTGCTGGTTCCCTATCCTTCGCATCATTTTACTTCCTCATCTATCACACGGTCACGCTCAGCAGTACTATGCAATCTGACTCATGTCAATGACCCGCCGTATCACAGGAATGCACCATCTTTTCCACCTGCAAGTTACTCGCTGCGTGGGGAGTGAGGATCTTTGACTTCAAGACAAACACCCCTGCAGAGAGCAGAAACACGGACGGGATTCATGTATCCGTGTCAACAAATGTTGATATTCGGAACTGCATTCTGGCGGGCGGTAAGTGGTTGAATAAGTTTTCAACATCACACCATCTCGTTATTGTCTTTGTAAGTACACGTAGCATAAACCACACCATCTCATTATTGTCTGTTCCAATGCAGGTGATGACAACATTGTTCTGTGGGACGGCGCGAGAGGAGTCAGCATCTCAAACATTACCGCCTTCAGCGGACATGGAATATCGTATGTCACCCGTACCCCAATGTTGGAATGCCCTCAATCACACCACCGTGTAGGGTCGTGGAATTGTTGTATTCCAGTGTCATGGTGTTCCTCACTTTCCTTCTATCGCAATAATGCGCAGAATTGGAGCACTTGGCAGTGGCAAGATATCAACACTCTCCTGCGTTTCAGACGTGACTGTGAAGTCCGTCCGGTTCTTCAACACGAAGATAGGCCTACGCATAAAGACTTTCCAAGGTGGAACTGGTGCAGCGACTAACATTGCGTATGAGGACATCACAATGGAGGGGGTTCGGTACCCACTGGTTCTGGATCAGGTAAGTGAACTATCTGATTAAATCTGCTTATGCCAACTTCGTCTCACTGTACAGCGGCATTGACAGTGATTCCTGTGGCTCCTTCAACTTGCAGTTCTACAATGGAGGGAGCTTGCTCTCGCGAAGCTCAGTAAAGTCCAAAACGTCGCTATCTCGGGCGTTTCATTCTCGAACATCCACGGCACAACCATTGGAGACGAGGGTGCTGTTTTCGTTGCAGCAAGACAGTACCTTGTACCAATGTGCGGCTCAGCAACGTTGACATAACCGCAGTAGGATCGCCCAGGCATCTGGTTCCGGTTTCAGACGACGTCTATGGTAAGGTAGGAGGAGATTCTTCCTTGGCAATGGAAATTGAAAGTAAGGCTGACTCTGACGAGCTTGAGAGGATACAGAAACTAGTGACCGCTTGTGCCTCGCAGCCCCTCGTTTACTAACTGTCGCCTTGTGGAATAGCCGCTGACAGCCGATAGATTCCATAACTATAGCCAACGGCCGTGATGCTTCTTCACTGATTCCATAACCATAACCCACTGATGCTTCTTACTGACATGACCAGTCAGTGAGATGAGAACCCACTGATGCTTCTTCACTGACAAGACCAGTCAGTGGATTTTCCTCCGTAGCCTCAGTATTGTAGATAATGTACTTCCATAGTGGGTCGAAACGTCTGAAAAGCTTTATTTGAAGATACAATGTACAGCGTTAATCTTCCAAAACTATAAATTCGACTACCAGTGCAGCAGATCCAAAACTCTCTGGACGGCATCCTGGACGTTTTTGCGATCTTCTTGCAGCTTGCTTTGTGTGGCAAGAGTATCTTGTTTAATTCGTTCGAGCTCTCTGCCGATGTCAATTCCTTCGTAATTGAGAGAACTGAAAGAGTTAACGCTCATGTTAGTCGTCAAATTGGCAGTGAAAATCCTTGGTGCTTGACATGACGCCAGATGGCACTTACTCTATGTCAGGCAGCAGACCTTCCATAGCGCTTTGAGTCTGATTCAACAGCTGCGAGATTAGATCTCGCGTGCTGTTGCCTACGCCGGCTTCTTGTGGAAGTTCTTCAGCGCTTTGGTCAACCATGCCTTCCTCAGGACACTCGATGACAGTTTCCAAGGCCATAGTGATGATCAAACCGATCAAATGAAGATCTGAGACAAAGGCGAATGTCGATCAGAGTTGCAGATGGAAGTTTGTAGTGTGGTTTGTATCCTCGTTATGGAAGCCTCGATACAGCGGCTTTATTTAGAGTGATTTTCTCAGTGTTTGAAAATCATATTCTACGATGGGGTTGGTGTACCTGCTCTGCACAACCTCCGATGTATACTTGACCCGAACAACATCTCTTCTCGGAATGGTGGAACCAGCGAGTGTCAGGGGATCAGTTCTTTGCCAAGTCAGCGACGAGTAACAACAATTGCGAAGCAGAGATGTCTCGCCATCTTCGCCCATCGAAGCACCAATGTCAGTGGTGTATGGTCGCAGAATCCCAGATCTCAACCGCAGCTGCTTGCCTAGAACCAATATCAACGGCTAGGATTCACTTCCCTCCTAGTGCTTAGCTTCGAATTCAAACCATTGAGCTTGCCGCGTTCCAAACTGACACGATCATTCTGCGTCTCCAGATCAGAAAACAATCGACGGTTTCTAGGTCATGAGTCCAACGTTCACCAGCGAAATCCCGCAGCTCCCGCCTTCGTCAACGGAATCTCGCTGAATAAAGTCGGTGTCGTTCGTCTTTAGTGAAAGGAGGGCGCAAGCGAATGGCGTACACATGGCATTTTTCTTTTCCCTTCACTGACCGGCAGATTTATGTGCCACGCGGACGATTCTCAACCAGCCAGCGATGTGAAATCTCGAACCTCCCTGTCATGGGCAAACCATTCGCAGCCGTCGTCGCTGTTCGTCGTAAACCCAACGGAGCTGGTTAACCTGTACGCCAATGAGGAAATGGCTAGGTTTGTCGTGCTGAAACACGCAAAAGGTCCGAACTGACGGCTGCGATCTGGGTTAGCCAGCACGTTTCAGACAAATCAGTGATTCTGGACGGTAGATCTGAAGAGGGTTGCTGTGAGGAAAGGAGAGGAGAGGCAGTTAGTGACCCCTCCGCCTCATTCCAGCGTCACCGTCGCCTCTCGCCTCATTCTCGCCTGAGCTTCGGATTTCACGGCGCTTTCGCCTCTTGCTCTCACTTTCTCATTTCTCGCTCAAGCTTCTTCTGCTCGTTTTCTTACAGCTCCTGCGACTGCGAAAAGGAGAGCCGTTAGGAAATCTTATTTCATTCTGCTCCAGGCCTGGCTTAATGTAGAAGCTGCGTCGGGAAGAGGAAATGGCTTGTCGGAAGAGGAAATCGCGCGTGAAGCCTGGAAACTTTGACTACGAAAGAACAAGTGCGAGGATGGCGATTTTCGTGTGCAAGGTACGTCTGAGTGCGAGTGCTTTTTTCCACGTATCCGAGTTTTTTTAGTTTGTGTAGCATGCTTTCGTTTTAGCGCACGCGAGGTTGTTCAGTGGCGCGTCTGACGTGATGACGACTGCATGTTGCAGGTTTGTTCCGACCGAGGCGACAAGTCGCTGAATGGGAAAAGATCAAATTGGAAGGGAGACGAGCACGAGCAATGTCACCATCTCGTTCTTCGTGCGATTTCGGGGAGTGCATGCGAGTTACAGATTCCCTTCGTAGCAGCTCAGGTATTTGGCGAAGCCACACCCGTACATAAAAGTCAATTTCGCAAATCAGTTTCCCGCATGTCAAGCGTTCGCTTTTCCGTTTCGCGTTTCAATCTTGATGAGCAAATTCACCGATCGATTTCGTTCATAGTTGTCGCGTTTCAGTTTCCCGTTTCAACTCTGCAATACTAGATCCCGAATTTCAGTTTCGCGATCTAGTTGCAGATCGTTTTCGTATCACAGTACGTTGTTTCGCGAGCTGATTCCCTGACGTACGTTTCCCGATCGATTTCACAGATAGTTGTCGCCGCGTCTTTCCACCCACTGCAGGCCGCCGCGCGTCACGCCGTTGCCCAACCTCCCGGACGGGTGCCACGCTGGTGGGTGCCGTGAACCTCTCTCTTCCGCCACACGCCGCTGCTCTCCACCCAACTCACCCACATCTAAGATAAGCTAAGTACCCCGCCCTGCCTCTCTCCTTCCAACTCTCGCACTTGTGTTGCCTCTATTTTAGCATTTCGCACTTGTGTCGCTATAGCTGCCTGTAGCACACCCGAGTCCAGCCCTTTTCTTTTAAGGTTCAGACTATATGGTACCCCCTTTGGTAGGTGCAATTTTTTTACCCCTGGTACGGTAAGGTAAAGGTCCCCGTTTCCCCTTGGGTGTGTTGCAGCAGCTATACCCCCCTCCCGTACTTGCTACACCAATTTCCGTTTCTCGCATGTGACTCGACTGCGGTCCTCCTTGTTTCATCACCCCTCCCCCCATCCTTCCCGACCCCCTCGCCCGTTACACCTACCCTCCCTGTCCCCCAGTTCACCTGCTGCCCACTAGAACCTTCGTTCCAAACAATCAAGGAGCGTGGGTGTGGGACGCGAGGCGGAGGCAGCAGCAGGTCATTGTGGGCTGCGCAGCGCCTCTCAAACCACAGCGCGGATCAACAGATGAGTATCGCGCCACCACTGTCCCTCCCTTCGCCTGTATTCGATTTTTTTTTTCCGCGTGTTGTTTTGTTTGTTTCACATGCTTGCTGCCTCGTCACTCTAGCTGCCTGTAGCGCACCAAGTCCCTCCCTTTCTGGTGAAGGGTCTGACTGTGAGGTACTCCCCTTGGTAGGTGCAAACTTTCAACCCCTCCCCTGGTACGGTAAGCAAAGTTCCCCCACTCCCCTTGGGTGTGCTACAGAAGCTATACCTCCCCTCCTCTGTTCGCATCTGCTCACGCGCACTCGTCTTTCTCTCCTCCTCGCCTTTGCTCGTGATTCTAACGTCCACCACCCCCCTCCCTCGCCTCCTCTCCCCTCCCTGACTCTCAGCGCCTGCTGCTGCTGGGGACCATCGCTTTGCCACGCAAATGCGGTTCAATGGACGGGGGCGAGGAGGCAGCAGCGGAGGCAGCAGCGGGTCGTGCTGAGCCCTCCAGCAAGCACGGGTGAAGAAAGTGCAGATGAGTATCGCTTCACCTCCCACCCCGTTCTCAACTTCGACCGTTTTGCCATTTGTTGCTTCTCTTGCTTCCTGTTCTGCGGCCTCGTCACTCTAGCTGCCTCTAGCACACCCAAGCCCTCTCATTTGGTGTCAGGTACTCCCCTTGGTAGGTAACCCCTGGTATGGTAAGGTAAGATCCCCCACTCTTCTTGGGTGTGTTACAGAAGTTATACCTACCCTCCATTATTCACATCTAGTAACTTGTACTTGTCTCCCTCGGACTGGACATCTCCCCTCCCCCCTTGCCCATGATTCCAGCATCCACCCACCCCTCCATCCCCTCCCTGACTCTCAGTGCCGGCTGCTGTTGAGGGCCATCGTGCTGCCTGCCGAGCGCTTCTCAATGGACATGGGGCGAGGAGCCAGCAGCGGAGGCAGCAGCGGAGGCAGCAGCAGAGGCACCAGCGGAGGCACCAGCGGTCGTCTTGGGCTCTCAGACGAAAGTAAAGATGAGTATCGTAGCACACCTGCCCTGCCTCTCTCCTCCCAACCCTCGTACTTGTGTTGCCTCTCATGTCTCGCTTGCATCATGCAGCAAACTCTCTCCTTTACTGCCGTCTGTCAAACTCAGAGACCTCCCTCCCTCCAAGGTAGCAAGGTAGCAGGTACGTGCTCAGGTATTTGGTTTTAGTGTGGTTCAGCTGGTATGAGGTCTCTCGGTGTGCCACTGCAGCAGTCCATTCATGCACGCATCACTCTTGTGATTTCTTCTCCTCTCTTTCTCACTGTAATCACTCTTTCGTTCCTCATTGCCCTCCCCACTCCTCTGCTCTCCAATCACACCCTGTCATCCTCTCACCTGCCCTCCCCTCAGGAAAGGAGGGAGCATAGTT